CAAACTCGTGACCCCTGCGTGACGAACAGTGACGTGCTATTAGTGTCACACAAACTCGTGACCCCTGCGTGACGAACAGTGACATGCTATTACACATAACGCTTCTACTGGAAACTTCCAATTATTACTCATGCGAATTTTATGTAAAAAATCATTGGTTTGTTAGGATAGAAATGACTTGGCCACAATTACATATTTAGGTTTAAAAACGATGTCAAGCGAGATAATATGTCAAAAAATACCTTTCTGCAATTTGCCTAACGACCTCGTCATTCTCCTTTACAAAATCGAGCAGCTCCCTGAAATTAGAAACAAATACTTTTATAAGTGGATAATTGAGAACTTGATCGGCTTGAGAAGTTTGTGTGGTATGTTGCGTGGGATCGCAGATCTCGTGTGTTTATAGTAAAATACATAACAGAGCGCCACCTGTAGGTATTTACACACGTAGGATTTTTGACCATGACTATCTGTGCCCTTGAGGTTAGGTGCTAAACAAACATGATAAGATTAAGGACGTGAAGGCAGCATGATCCTGGATATCGGGTGTTTGTACATGTGCGATGTAACTCACCACGCATTGCCGAAATCTGTGGCGATGGGTATGTAATGAACCCAGGGTTTCAATGCAGGGTAGAAGAATTCCTTCCACTCTTCCCCGACGTGAAAGACTAACGACTTGCAAAGAAACAAGTGTTTGAGCCTGAAACTTGCTGCCACACCGCGAAAGTTGTACAGATACCTGCAAGAGAAAATTCAGAGTTACGCACACTTTAAATACAGATGGGGAATTCTACTCACGTCCTACGAAAACGTAAATGTGTCTGTCTAGAATTTTGGCTCGTGCAATTAATTACTATGAACATATATCAGCTACCAAAGTTATCATAACATAATTGTATGCCAAAATGCAAGATACAAACAAGTATCCATGAATAATAGCTATTCCCAGCACATTCACAAAGACAATTCATTCAAAGACAAATTATAAATTGTTTAAATGCTACTTACTTGTAGTGACAATGATCTTCAAATTTAACTTCAGATGCTGGTTCTACACCCAGAGTATCCTGCAAAATAATGAGGTGATCCTATTTACAAGGAGGTTTCCATTATCCAGGTGATGTGTGAAATGAAACATTTACAGCTTCATCTTTCCTTACGCATCATATTATATTATATTGTATTATTATTATATTATAGTATATTACATTATTTAACTATATATTTTATCATTTATCTTATACCTTTACCACCGTGAAAAAGTTCAAGCAACAGCTTGGCAGCAGGGTATGGTGAAGTGTGTCTTACATCAGACCTGACATCATACATCACGCCACACACGGCCGGTAGCACGCGGACGAAGCGACGAGAGAGACCGCATACCTTCAGCGACCGCCACGCCTGATTCTTCGTGTACTGAGCGTCGACGGCGTCCGGATGGCTGCGTGAGTGCAGCACCAGCGCGTCCCTCTCCCCCGTCGTCCGCGAACCACGAAAGAATCCCAGCGGCTTCTTCTTCTCCCACGGCCATTTCGCCGCCTCTCTGCACGCCAGGATAAAGACATTAGATAATAAACAAAGGTTAAGCCTTCACTTTGTCACTGTGTACACTAGGGGTGTAACGATATACCGGTATATCGGTATATTGCAATATATTTTGAAAACTCGATATATCGCGATACAACTTCCGGATATCGATATTTTACAATACGGTCGTATAACAAGAAATAAATTACTTGACACTTGCCTTTATGTCTATATTGTTAATGGACTCGAAAATTATGCACTGGCGGTGTATATATTACGAAAGCACAATGCCTGCACGACGCATACAGTATTACTGGTAAGCGACTACTGCATGGAGCACTGCGCGGCACTACTGCGCGAGCAGAGTGGGGCAGACGTGTGAGCGAGGCAGCGAGCACGTCAACCAGGGAGTCTATATATAGCCTACGCTCACCTGAGTGGGCGCGCGCGCGATACAAGCTGAAGCGAGCACCCACTGTTTCAGTTTCAGTTTCAGTTTCAGTATCCAGTATTAGCCAATTATGCAACAGGGGTATTGTGTATTCCAGCCACGTCAGTGCCTTCCGAGAGGGTATTCAGTACAGCGGGTGACATTGTCGTGCTTATGTTTCTCAAGAAAAACATGAGAAATTAAATCATGTCATATAAAGCCGAGAAAAAAATGACCTTTGGTTCGGGTCACCCGCGCCCACACCGTGCGACTGCGGTCACTTTTAAAGGGTTTCAAGAAAAAATAAAATTCTATTAGATACCGCCTGCCGATCATACATATTCAAATATCCGACTCTTGTCATTTTATTTACCTAAAGATAGTTTCAAAATATTTTTCCTACAACGTGAAACTGTCGTATAGAGCCTGGGCCGGCTACTTCATACACAGAACCTGAAGGTCGTATGGCGCGGCGGCCGGCTTTGATGTACGCGATCGATCGATTGATTTTTTTTTCCATGCGTGCGTGCGTGTGCGCGCGCGTGTAGTGGTGGATTTAGGGGGAGCCAACCCCCTCTGTTGGACTAACAATAATATATTATTACACATATATACCAATTAATTACTGCCAAGTATAATAGTCGCGCGGCTGTACAAAACGGCACCTGATGCATGGGTTAAATTATGTAATTGAGTGGCAAAGCAGGCTACAACCCTTTTGCAGCTTTTTCACAATTCCAAGAAAGAGTTTTACTGTCGCCCTCAGCAGGCCTCGAATTAAGTGACGAGAGGGGCAAGGCAATTTTTTGGGGGCATGTGAGAAATTGCCTTGAATTTTCTCTAAAATAGATGGGCACCGAGGCAATTTTAAAAGGCATCAAGGCAACTCTCACAATTTGAGAAGGGCACCAA